GATATGACAGGGTTTGAGAAATTATGAGGATTATTCAGAAAATCCAACTGTCAGTAAACACTGTTATGTGTTTCTATATTTTGTTCCAAATCATAAATGGGGTTTATGGTAGTTGCATTTCATTGACAGAAGACAAATCCATCAAAATACCACTCTTCTCTCATCTTCATACTTGAAAAGACATTGCTAAAGAATGATGATGATAAACAGCTTTTACCAGCATGGCAAAACACCACAAACTCAACTGCCAGTAATTTTCTCATGATTGATGTTTTACTATTTGACATGATTCATTTATCAATATTAATTAAGAGTTAAAAGACAAAAGCTGTGCATCAACAGAGAAAAAAAACATTAAATCTTTATGAGGAGCTGGGCAGAGAAACAAAGAAAACCCTTGCAAAATTGTGCAGTTCTTCTTTTTGCCTATTGCCTTGTATATGTTTGATGCTGGATTATTCCAGAAATCTATGGAGTTATAGTATATTCTTGAATAAATCTTTTGTAAAATGTCAACAGTATATGCAGAGCTTTAGAGGAACTATAGCACTCTATTCATCTATGCATATTTCTCAAAAAATGAAATTTGGGATATTGATTGAATGTCTTTGCTTGATTTGATTAATCGATCATTTACGACTGACCAAGTAACTGAATGATACATAAGCATTAAATTAGTGACATACTAGTTTGGGCTCGGATGATGAAGTGATTTAACCTATTGAATGCCACAGAAACATGACAAAAGAACAAACATGCCTCAATTAACAAGAACATTGCCTTCCTGCCATTGGTGTATTAGAGTAACACCTCAAGTCTATTTGCCAGAAATAGAACCAAGTCCTCTTTAGCCTTGAATTGGGTTTTTGTGCAACCACCTTGTGATGCAGATGTGTAACTAATAAGCTAATTTTTGTTTACAACTAACCAGTTGATCAGTTGAGTGAATTTTGACTTTTCTGTTAGATTCAATTGAATTCCACAAACCTTTGCAGCACAACTTACCATTAGCCCCATCCCTAGCTTTGCACAGTTTTATCTGCAAAATGATTTTGAAGGTTGCTTGGTCTTTTTGGCTAATTTTGGCTAAATTTGTGGTACCAGTTTGAGATGACCATCGCACCTCTGTGTGATAACCATAAGTATATACTGTACATGTTTTTCAGAAGAGGTGCAGTTGAATGTGGTTTTATTATAATTTCAATCTGGAACAATTTAAGCTTAGGCCCTCAAAACGGTCTTGAATACAGATCAGATCAACATTATTTTAAACAGACCAGAACTAAATACACATCAATTCCCCTACGTCAAGAGAAATGTTGAGAACTCTGGAAAAGCTAGCTACAGTCAGACAATGAATACAGACAGAAATGTGGCAACTGTGAGCACCATCTGAAAACTTAGAATGCAGTTGCTATAAACTGAAGTGCATGTGTTGCCTAGCAGCTGAGATTTGTTTGCAAATAAAGTGAAGCTAGTATGAAGTGCCTTTGAAAATCATGCTCAGAAACCAGAAAAACTGAGGTTTTAACACAAAAAATGACTTGCTACTTATATTTATATTTTCTTTGAGTTAGGATTTAGTTTGTGCACAGAAACCTACAGAAACCTCACCAAGCAAAGTTTTACAGATATGATATATGGTGGCAGCAGCTACAGTATGTTGTAGCTATCTATTCTTACATAATCTATCTTAAAAGTAAATTGTACGTTTAGTCTAACTTCAAACGCGCATTAAATTTTTGAAAATGCCATAATTATATAATAGTTTTTCAGACCATTTGCACACTGAGTAAACTTGATTTACTTAAAGAGAAGCTATCATTTAAAGCTAATCTGAGAACTGATGTGCAAAATTGAGACTTGTTTCTTAAAAAACATTTTACAGTAATCATACCAATTTTGTGTGTACCAAATGATTTCTTATTTAAAGTCTTTATCAAATAATATAATATTTCATATTATAATTCTGTATTATACTAAACCCCTCTCCTGGGTAACATTTTTTCAAGCAGAATCTTAATTACCTTTTTTCATAATAAAATACCAAAATACAAGAAGCATTTCAACAGGATGACATCCACTTTTTGCCATGTTTGACTCTTTAACACTGGCAAAGCTAGAGGAAAGCCTGGCACACTTTCAGAGTTAGTATTAATTTAAAATTTACATTGTGAGAACAACAAGCCAAAATATGATTGATTCAATGGGCTTTAATCCCATCTTTAATCCAGTTGGTCATTAAAGATCCCATGACACTGTAAGATTAGGGACATTGTCTTCGCTAAATTCCTTTCTGATGGAATGTGCTTCAACTTCACCCTTAATACAACCAGTGAAGCAATTTCTCACTCCTCCACCTGATCTGCTGCATAGTGCCTCATTATAACATGGCTCCTGCACTTCAGTGGTGAATAAGGTGGGCCTCTTAAAATGCTATATAGCACCGTAAAATTCTATATGATCCCTTTGGGATACTTTGGAATGAAAAATGCTTCACAAATGCAGACAGTTAAGGATTTATGTAATTTTTTAATTAGTAATATTGCAATTATTATAATTAGACTTGCACCAAAAAGTATATTTCACATTATATTTAAATAATAAAATAAGACACGTTTTGCAAAAGCAAAATAATTATTCTTACAAACTTTTGATCAACAACAAAGATATAATGTTGCATTAAAGTCATCCATAAGGGCAGCACTTTTTTCCCTTATAAGGTGCACAAATAATAAGTCTATTAGGTTTCCAGAATAAAGTGTTTTATTCAAATTTCAAAGACTACATCTATTATTGTAATCATATGTTTTAAATCATCATATACATTAGCAATGAACTGATCTGTCCCTAATATGGATTTTATCAATAAGACGAGGTATATTTTTACATCTCATGCTAGCTTCAGAGTTTTGGATTTGTTTTAAAAAGGAGAATGTTACAAACACATGATTAGATAATCAGATTGTAGGAAACCAGTGCTTTCATATAAAGGTCATTTATCACCCAATAACTAAATAGTGCCATCTGTAATTCCATTATCTGTCAGTGGGTTTATTCAATTAACATGTTTTTGCCTTTGAAACATTGTGCCAAGCATTTATTTTCCGTTACTGAAATGCCTCTGAATGAAATTCACACTGAAGTCATTGTTCTGACTCTGAATCCAGTAGAACAACAGCTGAATGCCTCCTTAGCTGGAAGGGGGGAAATTAATTTACTGTTTCATCTGATGTATGTGAAACTTGCTCACACCTGTTTCTTTGCAAAGAGGCGTATTTCAAGGTTAGATCAAAAAGTAGAGAACTGTCAGGCATTTTTCCCATGCTTTTCAGCACAGGGGATTACCATTCCAGGCATGTTAATATCTACAGGTATATTCAAAATATGTAATACAATAGGTGATAGAACACCAAAATATTTAGAAGTGTGTAGCACATAGTTTTTAAAAAGTAAGATAAAATAAATGTATCATACAGTATGTCTTGAAGATTTGTAATTCCCAACTTATTGAAGTTTATTTATAAAATGTTTCTTATAAAAGGTTCTTTCTGAGGTTTGAGTTCTAGAAAATACAAAATCAGGTCCAGTAGTAGAATTTTCATAGACACAGGCCTACGTAGCACTGAGATTTTTCCCCATTTCCTGGTATATTACAGTATTAAGGCCTGCGTGGATGCGTTTTATTTTGAAGAAAACAGGAAAATACTATGGAAAACAACCCATCTAAACAAACTAATAGGAAGAAGTGAAAAGAAAAATAATGTGTCATGAAAAAGGATATTTGTTTTATCTGCATCTTAAATAGTTACATGTTGAAGCACGTGTATGATCTTGAATCATGCACAGTAAACTGTGTATTATACTCCTACCATGTATGAAAAGATAAAATGGTACATCATTGTGAAAGAAACTTTCAGATAATCTGTTAAGGATGAATTTACACAACATAAACAAGAATTGTGCCATCTCAAAGGTGGTGTTATTTTATAATTGGTTTGATTATGAAAATGCAAGTACACTAAGTAGTAAAAATAAACATGTGGATATGTGCCCACACACTTCACGTGGGATAAAGTTTTTGAAAAACACAATACTAATAAAGTAACTAAAACAACAAACAAAGGTTTTGACTTGTCTTTACCCAAGGTCTGAGCAATTGCTCTTAACTTTGTTCAAATTGTTTCTTACATTTTGGAAAAAAATGAGTAATACTAACATTAACAATAGGATTAAACGCTATAAGCTACTTTTTGAGAAAGAGAAACATTTTGTCCATATAGTGCGTGTTTGGAATCATGAACATTTTATGTACAACCACGGTTATTTAATTCTCTAATTCACATTTAACCCATATACACTACAAGCCAAATTTGCATTTAAAATAAAAAACAACATTCCTTTTCTGTATGCCCCTTTTCCCCATTAATAACTCATTATTCCCTTTATTAAAATCTCTTTGTATAGTGGCAGTTTATTTTACACCAATTTAATGGTCAAAACAGCTATAATTATAGCTTCTGCACTTTCTTCAGGGATGTAAGTTCACAGTTTATGAAAGTCAAAGGAAGCATGGACTGAAGATATATGTTGCTTGTCTGTGTTATGTGTCTGTTAAATATTCCCAGGTACTGTAGTAGTGCTGGATTTATTTTCTATTTAACAGAATAAATACATTATGAAATAATATCTGCAAATTGATATTTACATTTTCTGTATTCAATACTGATTGGGAATTGGTGTCAGGAATATAATAGTGGTATGACAACATGCCTCTCAATACCCCAAACCACAGATTTTCAATTTTGTCAACACAAAAGTCATGATCCTTCCCGGATCACAAGAAGTGAAACCCTGAGCAGCGCAGGATCACCTACTGTAGACTCCTGACCCCGTTTCATTTGAGGAAAGAGGTCTGTTTGTCAACCTAGAGTGTGGATGTGGTAGATCTGAGGAGGTTTTAAAAAAACCCAGAACAACTGAAAAACAGACATACTCACAGCTTGGGCTTGGCAAAGACTGGTGGGGGCTCCTTGATGGGTGAAGTGGGCACGGTGGCTGCCGGCTGTCCATTCAGCATTTCGAGCGGAGAGCCGGCCTTTGGCGGCTTGGTGAGGAAATCTCCCTGTTCGAAGGAAGCCTCGCTGTCCTTCTCGTCCTCAGGCAGCTTGAAGTGCACACGCAGCCCTGCCTTGGAGCTGGATCGAGGCTCATTGTGATTAACAAGGACCCCCTCCAGCTTGGGCTTCAGGCAGCCTGGGGGGTCAGCCGAGATGACCTCAGGAGCTCTGTGCTGGGACGTGATTCTGGACACTGCAGTGTAGTTATTGCTGTTCTCATTGCCTTGCAGAAAAGAGAGTGAATGGGTCAACCCTTTCTGAGCGTGTCTTACAGCACATAGGGCTCAAAAGACATGATTTTATTTACAGATTTTGAATTACAATATTTCACATTCAAAACCTCCAACAACAAAAGGGGAAAGAACAACTAAATAAAAAAATATGCATGCATGGTGAGACTCTTATAACCATACTTTTCAGAGTACATTCTAGCAGTGCTTAGCTGCTTCCCAATTTTTGTTTTGTTTAAATTGCCATAAAGAATTGGAATTATTTAGTGAGACATCCTTATTTCATAGTTCATCAAGCAAATGGAATTTCTACATTCTATATCTGTCCAAGTTGAAAGATTTCCATTTTCATGTTGTATTTCAGTTAAAAAAAACACTTTTAGACATTTCATGCATCAAACGATAAGCTATCTGCAGGCTGTTCTAAGAAGGAAACAATTTATCAGATAATTTAAGGTAAAACAAAGTCAACAATCTTATATTATTTTTGCCTTAATGGCAACCGAAAACATTGATCTGTCTGTATACCATAAAAGCAGGGAATTTAATTTCATAATACCTTTCACTTTCAGATAGGCAATGCTGGACACCGTCCCATATTTGTTTTTAGCTGTGCAAGTGAATGTTCCAGAATCTTCAGGAAAGACTTCAGCAATTACCAATGTACATATTTCCTCTGAAAGGAGAGCAGGATTTACATAACTAAATTACAAAGCATAAAACATGAAGTGGAGTTTTATCATTCAAAATGGGCAGGTGACTTTTTTGCTTAGGACACCGAATCATCCCTGTTAAGCAAAATATTACATATAGTAAATCATAACAAAAGTGAAATAACATGTATTTATATTCTGCTGTTGCTGCTGTTTGTTTAAATATTAAAGGAATAAAATGCAAGTTGCATTGGCAGCAGTATTAGAAGGGCTTGATTGATTTTCAGTTTGTGATCAGCAATTGTGAAATGTGTGATTCAAGTTCTTTTTGGACACCCTGCTGCTTCTGTGGCATATGCGCAACTGTATTTTCTAATTCTGGCCCCTTGCTATTGACATAAACCAAGTGCTGACTGTCAAAAATTTCTAGTAAAAAAAAAGAATAGGCTCAGTACCTTTCAGACTCATAGCAACACATTCAACACTTTTCTTTTTCCACCAACTCCACTATTTCTTTCATTTATGTCAGGCAATAAATTAAAAGTTAACCTTATATGCTGGTCATCATATTTAACACAGATGTTAGAAGCCTATTGGTTTTATTGCTCTGTATTTGTATAGCATTTCTTTTTTGGTGACAAAACTTGAGCTTGGAGGCAAAAACATTATTTTAGTCTCAGTCATGTTTGTGAACTTTTCTGTAGATAACTCAGACAATGACTGTCTGAATTGGCAGTAATTAATTATTTGGTTGAAAAAACACTTATTTTATCTATAAAGTTGCACACTTAACTTCTTCAGATCACACCACCACTATTTCAGTATAGAATTATGCTCACAATATACTGTAACGTGTTTTGCTGACTGCTGAAGCTTAATACTTTTTTCGCCATATACTGTATAGACTATAAATATATACCATATTCCTTAAGCTGTACATTTGTCTTGCTTCATAACAGCCATTATATCAAAGACAGCCCTCGTCTCCCTTTTATTACAAATAAAGCAGGACCTCTCAGGTATCTATGTACTGTATGTGTTTGTATACATCTGGATAGGTGCATAGAGATTGTCATGAATTAATCTTTTCCATGTCCCCCTAGATTTCGGGGAAGATTGAATCTGTTTCTGTGTTGACATTTAAGCAACTGCAGATGTTTTACATCATGTATACAGCCGAGCAGTTAGAAAAGACTGGCCTTCTTGAAAGGTTTAAGGTTGCTTTCTGAGCAAGGAAGCTTCATGGCCTTATATGGACCGAAGTTCTGAAAAGCCAACGCTGGCTGCAGCTTTAACACTACTAGGGTGAGCCCAGAGTCAAGTGTTGCAAAGCAGTATTTCTGGCAGTCAGACAAAGGCCAGCTATTTGCCACGAAATAGGGGGTTATCTCCTCCTGAGGGTGACACCACAGTTTTTCATAAGGCTTGAAGTGGAGGATGGGATTGTTTTCAATCTGTAAGAGTACATGATCATTAAACAACACAAAATATTGTGTGGCAGATGCAAGATTCAGGGAGAAATTTTGCATTCTGTAAAACTAATATGCAACACATTGCCATGACCTCATATTTTGGAATATATGCCCCTTTCTACTTTTTCACATGATTTATAAATATGAAAAACAGGGGCACTCCAAAATATTGCTTGCTGCAACCTCATCAGTCTGAACTGCAGCCCTATGACTCGTGGGGAATGTGGTGTTTCTGAGACAAAGCTCTTCCTCATTGAGTCTCTCGCCAGAGCCAAAGTCATCAGGCTCTAGGCTGGTGTCAGTGACATAAACTGCACATTTTTCTTTAAAATGCTTCCTAAAGACCTTCACTTTTAAAAGAATAGATGCAGACTATTATAGAATGATGTGCACTATTTTCCATTGCAGTTTGTACCAAACACCAGCAAAAATTCCAGTGTGGTTGAATGGAATATTGCACAGAACTCTGGGCTTGAGGAAAGGTATCCAGTAAAGGTTAAAAAAATACTGACACATTATATACTGTATATTTGAACACCTCTGGGCAACTAATTTTGAAATGTTCCCCAAATCAAAAAGTATGAGTGAGAAACAATCAAGACCATTGATCAAAGCTCTTGCAAGTGAATAGGATTCAGTAATGCTTGGTTACAACTTTTGATCTGACTGACTCAGTTTTGGGATACAATTACCGCGTGGGGCACAGCGCCATCCAGGCCCCAGAGAGTTTCCAAAAAAATAAAATTCAGATATGAGAAAAAAAACACTCGTCCTAAACCTGACTTGGGCCCCAAAATCCAGGGATGAACTAAACAATTGCCTAAGTAGTGTGTGAATGCTAACCCTAACCCCACCTGTGGTGTCAACTGTGCATTACCGCGATCTATATCTGAACGTCTCTGGGCATCGGATTCTGACATGTTCCCCAAACCAAAAAGCACGAGTGAGAAATAATCAAGAGCATTGATCCAAGCTCATGCAATTGAATGAGATCCAATAATGCTTGGTTACAACTTATGATCCGACCAACTCAGTTTTGTGATACAATTTCTGCGTGGTGCACCACGTCATCCAGGCCCCAAAGTGTTATCAAAAAAAAAAATATCAGATAGGAGCAAAATACCACTCATCCAAAACCTGACTAGGGCCCCAAAATCCAGTGTTGAGCTAAAAAGTTGTCTAAGTAATGTGTGAATGCTAACCCTAACCCTACCGGGGGTGTCAACTGAGCATTTCCACAATCTACTGTTCAATAACTGTTCTTCTCTTCATGGCATTTATTGTGATTTTTCTTTTACATTAACTTAATTTTCTTATCAACCTTTTAATTTTCCATCCTCGGTCTGCTCAGTTAAAATAAAATAACTGCATGCATGGAATAGAAATTCAGAGGGAGGAAAGGAAGGTGTTGTTGTGTTGGATTCTGCCATAAAAAATCCTACAGGGTATCATAAAGCTTTATTTAAAAAAAAGGATTCATAGTATAAGGTCAATGAAAGAATATGGTTTAAACTGCACAAAACTGAAGAATCCCATCCCATTAAGAATCCCTAGAAAGATGTGTATTGCATCAGAAATCTTTCATCAGTGAAATGATTGTTGTGCTGATAAAATAAAATGTTCAGATCATTGTTCTTGTAGGCTTTGATCTTTTGCAGATCATGGGCTGAGCACTAAGCAAAGTTAAGAGTTACAGTACAAGTGATTTCAGAGCTACCTTATCTGGCTGAATTTAAAAAATAAATGGTATTCTCATATACTGCTACAGCTTTCTGTAATACATATTCTTCGGGTGGCGCTTGTAAAAGGAGGTGCTTTGTTTTAGGTGAAACAGGCTGAATCAGTTGTGCTTTAATGATGCTTACCTGGTTCTGCCATGGACCTTGGCTCTAGAGCAGAAACAGAATCATAAGGAACAAGTTGTTAATTTGGCAGAATAAACTTTTTTTTGCACAAAATCCACCTGAACAGAAATGTCTTTATCAAGCAAATACTACTGTTTGTATCCATACCTGCTAAATTTCCGACTACATTTATGCTTTGCAACACACACAGTATATAAAATTTGATAAGATGTAGGGAGAGGAATAGGAAAAAAATCAATCCTACAGTATATTACCCTTAATTTGTTTAGCTTTATGACATTTGGCTGATGCCATTATCTTACTACAGGTTGCTTACAGTGTAAAGCGCTGTCATTCGCAAACAAGAGTCAACGCCGCTTTCATTTTCAGTGGACTAGAACCATTTTCTGAATTCGTTTAATTAAGGTTTTTTTTTTTAGCTCTGCCTTAATATGTCATTTTTTACTTGAGAAATGTGGATTACGTCTGGTTTGTTCAGTGAGTCACCCCACACTTACTTTTCAGGGTCCTTGACCAGAACATCTTACAAAAATATTGTAAACAAAAAAAAGATCTCCACACATAGTAAAGTAATTGAACTAAACAATCATTCATTTCAGCACAAAGATACAGCTTTATAAAGTATAGCTATACAATAACTATAGTTATACATATACATACATATAGTTATAAAGTATAGTTATACAAATAACTGTATATGTGAAAACAGCATGCATGTTTGCAGAACATATATGTACAGTATGTACTGTATTGAGAGGTTGCACTTTTCTGGAAGTGCCCAGAAAAAAGAAGAAGATATTTTTACTCCTTTAAACCTTGTGTACATAAAACTTACTTTTGTTTTATGCATGTACTGTATACTGTATGTACTGTATGTCCAATTATGCATAAACATTATATTTGCATATTATGAAGACATTCCTACCTATTAAAAAACACATTTTAATAGTTCAAACAGCCCATCCAGTTCATCTGCTTGCTAGTAGCTGCCCATGATCAGAGGGTTCGCTTTGACTGACTTAAGACCCGGTATAGTTTGGTGATGGTAATTGATACTTTTTTAATTGTTCATTTTAGAGTTTCTTCTGGTTGAAAGAACTTACTCTTTTGCAAAATCCTGAAATCAGGAGAATCATCAATCAAGGTGCCCTCCCTGTACCATTCCACCTTCGGGGACGGAGCCCCTTTGATTCGGCACTCAAGCACAACCAGTTGCCCCTCATAGGCTGTTAAATCTTGAAGAGTCTGTGGAACACGAGATATGGTTTTCAGTAAGATCTGCAAATTGGACGTTACATTAACAATTATTCATAGAGATAGAATATAATCTAAATTGAGCTCATTATAAATTAATTTGATCAATTAAAAAGTAAAAATGACTTTAGATTGGCAGAGAATAAAGAATATCATTTCTTCAATCAGTTCTGATCGACCCCGGATGTTTCTTCCTTGAGAACCTGAAGGATCGCATTTTTACGCTTTTAATGTTCTAGGCTCCCAGCGCCCTCTGCTGGTAGAATTTGAAAATTGTGCAGTACATTAAGACTCAAAATTGAGTATTGGCAAAAGTTATAAAGCCTTCTTCACACCCGAAGAAGGCTCCACGGACAAAACGTTGAGTTTTCTCTCTTCTTTTTTTCAGCATGGAATAAACCTATTACTTTTTATAAAAAGATATGTTCTGTTTCTTTTCATTTTCCTGATTAACCTAATTTGAATCATTGAGATGTAAGGGGCTGTGCAAATAAAAATAAATGTTGTAATTTGAAGAAACTATTTATTTTTCCAACAGTAATTGCATTCTCAGAAAAGACTCCTATTCAAGAGTTACATTTTACAATCAACCCTTAAAACGTAGGGACATGTTAAGCTTAGAGCAGAAAAGAGCAAATTTTTACCTTTGTAAAAACTGGAGCAGCCATTATCGGTCTTCCATCTAAACCCTGGAGGTAGATGTTGGAGCTCTGACTCTGTAGATCATTTACAGAACATGCAAAAGATGTAGTCAGATATACAAGATATCTTAATTCTGCATTGAATTGCAAAATAAAAATGGTGGTTTTGTGATTCTGTTTCAAGACAAAAAAGAGCGATAATGAAAATGTGTTTTCTGAAAGGTCAAACGTTTGAATAGAAATGACTCTAGATGGACAAAAATAATTTTATGCTTTATGATTAACAATGAATGTCTTATGATGTAGAGCTCAAGAAACTAGAAGATGAAGTGCAAAAAGGCTGTAATGACCTCATTTGAGTTAACTGCTCAAGTGCTGTGATTATTATGTTCAGTATAAACTCATTGTCATGCAACGTCACACCGATTCTTGCCACATCTGTGTAAATTGTATGAGAAGAGCAGGTCGCTAAAAGGCCTGTCTCCTCTAGTGGTGTGAGTCAACTGACCTCCTGTATAGGTAACTGAGCAGAAGGCTGAACGACAGGATTCTGGACTGGCTGAGTCTCTTCTTCACAAATGGGCTCTGTCTTTTGTGGTGGAGATGAAACTGAAAATGACAGCGATGTTTTCTTCTGGGCCCTTGGTTTTGAGAGACAAAAAATAAGGCATGAAATCATAAGAGTTCACCTTCATAGTTCTGTTTGCTTGGTTATTTTTTACCAGGTTTCAGCAATTTGTGAAAAATGAAAAATGTGGAAAATCTGTACACTGTTAGTCCGTGGGTATGCATGCAAGAGGATTCTACCAGCAGGAGGAACATGCATGCTCATGAAACTAATGTCAGCTCATTTTGTGGAAAAGAGCAGAATGCCTCTGCAAAATATACGTTATTCTGCATATTAAAATGACACTGCACAGAAATAGGTTTTGCACAATATATAATTTAAGTTGGTCAATATATTTCAGACAAGAGTTATTAGGCAGGCTCCAACAAATGAATAATAATACAGAGTTAAAAATTTAAGTTGTGTCGAGCCAGAACCATCACTGACTGTTCACTAGTCCTCTCTCTGAAATCACACTCATACTTACTGTGCTTTGCTGTCAAAATTCTGTTCACCTTCAGATTCGGAAGAGGAGGCACCTGTGTAAAATGTACAAACAAAATGTTAGTTAAAGAAAAGACAACTGGCTATGGAACCCTTTCATATTACTATAACAATAGTGTCAGAATTACTGAGTACATTAAATGGTATCTGACCCCAAAGGTAGAATTCCAAATATAATTGAATATTACTATTGTATATAATAATGGTTGGGCATAAAACAAGCGTGACAAGTCAAAGAGTTTTTTTT